CGCAGCGGCCCTGAGCACAGGGCAGGCGGCAGGGAAGGATGGGCATGGGCCGCAGGGCTCGCCTGTGGGCGCATTGCGGCCCTGGGCCTCCTCCAGGCAGCCCTCTGGCCGTTAGCACAGCGGGGGCGGTGGGGGGGGGAGGCCATGAAGCTTGTACAGGCCCCTGGATCACAGAGGCTTCTGGAAACGACTACCCAGCTGTGGAGCTCCTTCAGCCCAGGCTAAGCACCCTGGTGGACCTCAAAGCCCATTGACCAGCACCCCGAGCCTGTCTGGAGCCCCTGGCAGGCGGTCCGGGCCCGTCCACGCACAGGCAGACGCCAGGCCTCAGTTGTGCCTCTCCCCGCAGGTCCAAGTTCTTGAGCGACAAGTGGATGCTGCAGAAGGGCTTCCTGAAGGAGGAGCCTTCTGGAACCAGGCCCTGGTGAGGGCTGCGGCGCGGGGGCGTGGGGGCACAGGGGCGCAGGGGTGCCGCCCGCGGGCCCCTCCCCCGCGGCTCACTCCCGCCGGCCCGCCCCTCCCCTCCCCAGGTGGTGGCACCTGCATGTCCAGGAGCTGAGCCTGCCGGCCCCGCTGACCGTGCTGCCCTCGGTCACCTGTGAGCACACCATCGCCATCCTGCGCGAGAAGGGCTTCGACCAGGCGCCGGTGGTCAGCGAGTCCGGGTCGGTCCCTGCCGCCCGCTGCCCGCCGCCCCGCAGCCGGGTTCTGTCCCTGAGCTCTGCCAGGACAGCTGTGCGCTGCCTGCTCTGTGAGCACCCGAGGCCCCCCGCACGGTCCCTCAGCAGCCGGCCACTGCCCGGCCTCTGCCGCAGGCACTGGGCACTCATGAACTCTTCGCACCCCAGTCCTCTGCTCCCCCCATTCACTCCTAGTGCGCAGGCCCGTCTGGGCCCTGTGCTGTGCCTTGACCCCACAGTGCAGATCCCTCCATCTGGGCGCTGAGGGCCGTCCGGTCTGGAGCAGTGGGCTCACTCTCCTGCCTGGCCTCTCCCGGGCTGGCCACGAGGTGGCGCTCAGCAGACCTTGCATTTTTCCAACGTGCCACAGGGTGGCGCCCGCTCTGCCCTGGCCAGCTCTGGCAGTGGCTGACCCCTGCCTCTCCCTGGCCTGTCTGCTCCCCACAGGGCTATCCTGGGCATGGTGACCCTAGGGAACATGCTGTCCTCCCTGCTCGCCGGAAAGGTGCAGCCGGCCGACCAAGTCTGCAAAGTTCTCTACAAGCAGTTCAAACCGGTATGAGAGCCGTCCTTGGAGGCTCCCCCCCCAGCCCTACCACACTCCAGCAGAACCACCACGCCTGCGGCTCCCTTCTGCAGATGTTGGGGCCCTGGCAGGCTTGCCCTGAGGATCGCGAGGTCGCGGGGCCCTGTCTTTCCCCTGGGGATCTCGAGGTTGGTGGGGCTGTCTTCTGTGCCCAGCCCTTGCTTTTTCCTGCACATGCTTCAGAGAGCTCTCACGGGAGTTTCGGCGAGGCCCCTTGCCCTGGACCCTCCTCGGTGGGCCCTGGGGGCAGGGGGTGGGGGGGCGCGGGGGCGGGGCTGACGTCACCTTGGCCAGGCTCAGCACCCCACACAGACCTGCAGTGGGTAGACAAGGCTGAGGGGTCCACCAAGTCAGCAATTAATTTGACCTCTCACCTTCCAAACCCCCTCCCTGAAACCCCACAGCATCCATGCCAGCCCCGCCTGCCGCCCCGCCTTCCTACTGCCCCCGAGTGTGTATGTGCACACGCGTGCATGCATGCCTACACGTGTGGTCCCACAGGTCCCTCAGTGTGTCTCCCTGTAGCTGGAGAAGCCGGGAGAACCCGGCACACGTCTGCTCGGAACCCCTTAGTCCCGGCCTGAGTCACACGCTGGGCCCCAGCTTCGGCCCCCACCCCTCGCCCCCCTGCCATGACCCCTCCCAGCCTTCTCCCCAGGAGACAGGTGGCTGTGGGCGAGCTGGGTGCTCGGAGGGCTTTCTGGGATGGGGCCATCGCTGAGTCTTGACAGTGTAGATCAGCTCTGGAAGCAGGGAAGCACACAGCCCAAGTGCTGGCCAGGAAGCCCGTGGGCCCCCCCCCCAAGTCCATCCTCACCCCAGCCCAAACCGTAGATCCTTCTACCCATCTGCCTGTGACAGGCGGTCCCAGAGGCACAGTCACGCGGCATGTGGCCCTCCTCGGCGTTCACAGAGCGCGTTGTGCGTCTGAGGCCCCAGAGGTCTCCTTGTCCTCTCCGGGGGGCTGGTGAGTTACCGGGATGGCAGCTTCCCACTCGGGCCGTAGATTGCTGACTCGGCTTCTCTTCCAGATCCGCCTGACGGACACGCTGGGCATGCTCTCGCACGCGCTGGAGATCGACCACTTCGCGCTGGTGGTACACGAGCAGATCCAGTGTGAGTGTGGTCTGTGTGCGCCGCGTCTTGTTGGGAGCGAGGTCTGGACACGGGCATCATCCAGCTCAGCTTCCCTCCTGTGCTTTCCAGCCGCATCCGGCTGCCAGGCCCGCGCCCACGTTTGGGGGCAGTGGTGATGATTGGCACTAACCAGCCTGGTTACCCAAGGCTCCCGGCTCAAGGGCTGAGTCAGGAACCTGTAATTCAAGCTGTGTGCGAGGGGCCTGGCAGGCGGGCAGGCAGGCTGGCAGCAGGCAGGCTGTACTTGGATGAGGCTCAGGTTGCCGGGCAGGGGATCCTCATCCCGGCTCCCAGCCCCAAGGTGGCAGGTTATCTCACAGAGGCCCGGAAGAATCTGGAGGCTGCCTCAGCTCCCACGGCCTTCTCGCCCTGGCAGCACACACACTTTGTGAGCCCTGTTGTACCTGAAGCCTCCTCAGAGTCCACCCAGGGCCCAGAGGAGGGCTGTAGAGCTCAGGATGCAGTTGTGAGGCCTCAACCCGGCCCGCCGGCTGCGCTGTGCGTGGTGGGCACCTGGGGCAGCCCCGTGTCTAACCCCTCTCCCGTCCTTGGCTCTACAGCACGGGACCAGGCCTGGTCAGGAGTGGTGGGGGGGCCTGCAGGTATGTACGCCCCGTCTGTCCCAGCCCCTGGGAAATGGCCAGGGGGCAAGCTCTGCGAGCCTCGTAAGGTCGGCGGCAGGCAGGGCCCGCGGAGAACCAGGGCCTCGCCATGGGGCCCCGCAGGGATGCATCTTGGGGGACACGGTTGTGGAGGCTGACACTTCCCAAGCCCGCAAGGCTGAGTAGCAGCCCTGAGCCCCTGGAGAGTGGATGTGACAGTTCACGTCCCGAAGTAGGAAACTGCATTACTTACGGGGTGAAGCCTGCCACAGTGCTTTTTACGGACTCTGGTGCTAATCCCGCCGCAGCAGACGTGCCCAGCATGCCACAGGCTTCCTGGTGGCCTCATCTAAAGTCTGCCACCACAACCCACGGGCTCGTGTGGCACTGGGCCTGGCTGGTGCCGAAAGCAGGGTTCTGCAGCTCGGGGCAGCGCGGCGTGGCGGCGATGATCCAGCTCTGCACCAAGCCTGTGGCCCGGGCTGCGCAGCCCAGGCTCCTCCCGACTCCGCTAGGCCGGGGCGGAGGAGCTGCTCTGACTAGGCCCACAGGCTCAGGACGGAGTGGTGGCATGGGGCCTCCCTGTGGGTCACGCAGGTGCCGGCGAGAACCCAGGGAAGGGTCTGGGGACGGACCCTGCTCCGAGCGGCCCCGCGCCCCACACCTCTCACCGGCCCTTGCTTCCCTCCAGACCACAGCAGCGGCCAGGCCAGCCAGCGGCAGATGGTGTTCGGGGTGGTCACTGCCATCGACCTGCTGAGCTTCGTGGTGGCCAGGGAGCAGGACCAGCATTGAGGTATGGTATAAATGGGGGTCTGCACCTGCTTTCATGAACACGCAACGGACTGATTTTCACCTTCCTGGGGCTGGGCCCTCTGACCTCCCTGCCGGGAGCCGCGGTCAGGAGCTGCTTAGACGGGGGCTGGGAGACGGCGCCCCCTGGCTCACTGGCTGCAGCGGGCTTCTCTTGAATGCTTCCTCACAGGAAGCCAGGCTGGGCACAGGGAGGCCCCCGGCTGGGCCGACTGGAGCGGCTTGAGACTGTGGGTGTCCATTTAGGTGCAGTTCAATAGCTGAAAACCCACAACGCGGGAGCAAACGCGCATTCAGGACGTCACGCTGTCTCCTCGTGTCTAAGTCCACAGCACCCTGGGGGAAGCAGTCCCTCCCCACCCGTCCCCGCCCGGCCTCCGGTCTCCCCCAGTGTGGGCTCTCACATAAATGCAATCACACCATCTGTGGCTCAGCCGTCTGTTCTCCTGGGGGAGGGGCCCTCGGTATAGCCGGGAAATCGTCCGTTGTGTGGATGGACTGCGTTTTGTTTTTACATCCCCCCGCTGACGGGTGAGAGAATCTTCTCCAATAGCGCGGTCCGGCGCAGCCCAGGGACACCGTGCCACACACGCACCCACACGCATGCAAAAGCAGCTTTTGGTGACATGAACTTTATAAAAGCAAAACATCCATAAGGCATGTTTCTATTTTTAATTTTTTTGCATTGATAAATCAACTGCTTCACAAAAATCCTTTTTAAAGACAACAATCCAAGAAAACATATCGTTACAGTATTCACATTTTATAAGATTGTCAGCTTCAAGGACCGAACAGAACCAGAAAGACACTGTGGAGATGGCCGCGGGCACACCGAGGGGAGGGCAGGGCAGCGGCCACCGGCGCGCCCCGGGCTGAGCCTGGAGCCCGGCTAAGGTCTCCACACACTGCAGGACTGGTCTACTTGGGTGACTCTCTGGAGTCCAAACATGGAGCGCTGAACCGCCAACTGGAGCTCGCCACTGTGGGCAACTGGGTCTAGCTCTTCACTAGGGAGCCAAACAGCAGGCAGGACAACGGGCAGACTGTGGTCTCAAACACACTCAAAGGCTCTACCACAGGGGGAAGCTGGGGAAGCTGGGATCAGACCTGACCGTGGAAAGGAGGCTGGAAGGGGACACACGTTCCGACCCACTCCCTGGCCGAGGGCTGGAAAACACGTGTTTTAAGGTGCAAACTTAGAACAAATACAATTGGCAGCAATTTCATGAGCCAGAATGGCCAGCTATGCACAAGCACCTCAGTATTCATGGAGGTCAGAGGAAACACAGCCAGGACCCAGTGTAGCTCTTGATGATTTTGTTTTTGTGATAGTATCTTGCTATGTAGCCAAGGCTGGCCTTGAACTCAAGATCTTATGCTATTCCTTGGAGTTTCACAAGAGAGAATTCAGGGTTTAGGAACACAGGCCTGGTATCTTGGCAGGGTGTTCAGGCCCCGGCCGGAACAGTGGGGTGCGGCCAGCACTCCTCGTGGACGCGGGCATGCCACCCCCAGGTTTGACCATGACTTCAGGGGTGGAGAGACGTGCTCTGCATGCTGTGGATGTGCGCCTGCGCTGCCGAAGATGGGGGGGGGAAGGGCTGCCAGCCCCGCAGGTCCCAAGTGAAGAATTCCCGCAGACGAGGCATTAAAAGAGCTAACGTGAACTTTTAGACTTGTGCAGACTGACTTAAATATTAAAAACTATAAATAAGGAATGCAATGGCTGCTTTAAAATGCTCCCCCGCAAAGAGCTGCAAAACAAGTTTTTCTTTTAAGTGAACCTCTGAAATGGCCTGGTAGCAAAGTGAGCCCTCTGCGGTCTCCCCTGGGACTGACCTTGGTGAACAGACTTTTTGGGGAAAGATACCAGTTCCAGAAAAAGCCCCGCACCAGCTAATGATGACCCCCGATGTGACCCTGGTCCAGACCCAGTCGCTCCTGGGGAGTCGACGCGCAGCTGTCCCTGCTCAGCAGAGGGGCCTCGGGCCCTGGGGGACACAGACATGGGGACCAAACCCACCTCCTGACCGGGTGGAAGAGGAGGGTTCTGGAAACTGGGACACCTGCTGAGAGCAGGGGACAGGAGCGCCTCTAGAGGGGCGCGGCTGGGGAGGGGCAGTTCAGTTCGTCGGGGGCCACACGGTCCCGGTCACTGCTGTCACGTGACACACGAAGAGGGCCCGGACACCTGCTATTCCCCAGCTCTGAGCCGGGGGAGGGGGGGCACACGGTACGTTAGTTTCTAATAAACATTCTATCCGTTACATATTCTGGCTAAAAAAAATTCTAAAACGATGCCCAGTTAGCATGGTAAGGCAGCCATGTAACTGAGGTCAAATTTAAATTAGACAGGACGACAGTGGGAGCTTGTGAGGCTGTGGCCTCGTCACTTACCTCCAGTTCTAGTCACCACGCCCTTCCGTGCTTCTTAGATCACGCGTAAAACGCAATATGAGCGTCACACACACAATTCATCAGCTAGATGGTCGCTCCTTTTTTAGCAGTTAAAAGTTAAACTTCCCGAGGGAAACGGAGCCTGCAGTGGGGCGGCGGCCGGCAGGCCGTGGGATCTGGCGATTCCAAGGGTTCCAAATGGAAAACAAGCATGTAGTGTAGTGTTCCTTTTCTAGAAATTTATCCTCAATATACTCATAATCCAATTCATAGTGAATTTATAAAAATAGCTTTTTATCCAATAATTCCAGCAAGGTAAAAATAGGAGTTTCTTTTTCTACATAGTAAATGAACGGGCTCGCGGGCCAGTACCATGCACGCCGGGGAACCCAGCACGCCGGCCCGGCTCTTCCACCCGTGGCCACGCACACGGGTGGCCCCCGAGGTCTGCTGCAAACCACAGAACTCAATTACGACTGCATAATTTTTTTTAGAAAATGGCAGCACTACTCCTTAATCTAGTCAGGGATTCAAAATGGGGGGCAGGGGCATCATTCACGGTTCTAGCAGTAAACCTTTGAAGAAGTTCCTTAAAAACCCACACACGCACGTTTGAAGAAGTCGCGGCAGCGGTAAGGCCGCTTGTTAACCCTACTATGAAATACAAAAGTGCACGCTCCTATATCTACATATAAAACATATTAGAATAAAACTGTAAAATGTTTGCTGTGCAAACAGTAAGAAGTCGGGTGCGCCGCGGGCACGGCGGGTGCTGGCGGCACCGGCTCGGCCGGCCCTACTGTAGGGAGTCGCTGTTCTCTAGCACCAGGCCGCCCATGTGCGTGGGGGCCAGCGCATCCCCGTCATCCTCCGCGCTGTCCACGGACTCATCCTCACTCTGCCCCGCCATCATGACCTGCTGCACGGCCAGGGTGGCCCCGTCCGAGGACAGGGACTGCAGGCTGTCCACGTTCATGTTCACAGGCGTGGTGATGGTCACGACGGTACCTGCAGCAGAGCACAGGGAGTTACGGCTGAGAAGAGCTGTCTGCTCTCCACGGGTGCTGCTTGCTGGCTTGGCTGAGCCTGAAGAACCTTAAGAAGCCTAGGTGTCTGTGGAGAGCCCTGCAGAGGCACAGGCCACGCCCAGCTAAGGACATCTGGATGGGAAGTTGGGTCAGCAGAGGTCAGTGTGATGGACAGCAGATTTCCAGGCCAAAGCATGTTCCAGAGAGAAAGAGAACCCAGGACATGGGACCAAGATGTATACAAAACCGAGAGCAAAAGAGAAGCAGGTCAGAGGCAGGAAGACCAATTTGAGAGGGCAAAAAAGAAGAGAGAGTAACTTAGTATGTAAATATCTGTCATCAAGCCTGACGGCCAAGGAAGGAAACTACCCACACAGAACAGGGATGTGGCGCATGAATACAGTGAACGGATCTGCAGGTTCCAACCAGGTATTAGCAAGGAGACAAGGGGAGACCGTACACGCGGTGTCCACAGGATGTTAGTAAGTGATGACAAGAAGAGACCTCACATACACGCGGTGTCCACAGGATGTTAGTAAGTAACGACACGAAGAGACCTCGCATATTTGCATATCTGTATGATACGCACACAGCCAAGAAGAACCGTAGAAGAGATAAATTATTCATTCCCACCTATGAACAGAATTAGCAGGGAGCACAGGGAAACGGACTGGTTGTCTCTCCAAAGATCAGAAGCCACTGGTTACTCTAGTCTGAAATTTGGGTCATCCTTGCCTCTTCTGAGGCAGGGGAGGGAGGAGAGGACCGTGATGGTTATGGTGTAGATGTGGGGGCCCAGGACCTCGAAGCGGGCTGGGGACGCTGGTCTCTTCCCCTTCCTGTGTCTCCATGATGTGGCCCTTGCTGGAAGCCCGAGCCCAAGGCCACCCACTTAAAGCCAAACAAGTGGCACACAAAGCTTCTAACATTTGAAGCATGCGTACAACACAAAGATGCTCCTGAACCACGTGAGGACGGCAGCCTGCGGTAGGGAGAGAAAGAGAAGAAATAAAACTACAGACAGGCTGGGGCTGGGAAGGTGGCTCAGTGGTAGAGCGCTTGCCTTGCATGCCTGAGGCCCTGGGTTTGATTCCTCAGCACCACATAAACAGAAAAAAAAAAGCGGAAGTGGCGCTGTGGCTCAAATGGTAGAGTACTAGCCTTGAGCTGAAGAGCTGAGGGACAGCGCCCAGGCCCATGACCAGACCCAAAACAAACAAACAAAACTACAGACAGGCACTTGCACTGAAAAAGAGGAGGACATCAGGAGGCCAGGGGAGACCCGCTGTGTCAGCTGCACCCGACGCTGGCAGAGGAAGAAAGCAAAACCAGAAGCGAAGGACAGAATGCACGGCGATGGTCACGCCTACTCTAAAACGAGCACAGAGGGTTCACATCCTCCAGCCCTGGCCGGAGCCCAGCACCGACACACATTCCCTCCACAGCTTCCTCGGAGCTAGCCTGAGCGCACAGCGGTCCACGGGGCCCAGCTCACAGGACCACCTCTGTCACAGCGACACGGGGCCCCAGCTCACAGGACCACCTCTGTCACAGCGACACGGGGCCCCAGCTCACAGGACCACCTCTGTCACAGCGACACGTACCTTCTGACATGGCGAGCTCACTTGGAGGCGGCTGCGGCACGCCGGAAGCGATGGAGTCAGGCCAAAACCTCTGAACCGGCCTGTTCTGAGCAGTTTTTTTCTTTGTTTTTGGGGTCTCTGAGCAACTGGAATCCAGCATTGGCTGGAGAATTCGTCTTCTAGCATTGATGAACCTGTGAGGAGGAAGGGACATGGAGAGGCCTCCTGCAGTCCGCGTTCCTAATGAACACACCTAGCAATCAGGCCCCAGAGATCCAACAGTGAAATGAATGAGTGAGCCAAGTCTCCAGAAACCTAGGGCCTGCCATTTACATAGCAATTGGTTTAAATAAGGATCCACTCTTCCATGGCACCTTTCTGGTTTTTGGTGAAGGGTTTCTGTTTTGTTTTTATACCTCATCTGCAGTTGATCTTAGCTAAAACAAACAGAAAAAGGCTGAGAAGTAATTTTTTAAGCTCACCTGATTTTCTCTACATGGGTGAAATTAGGCATTCATGACACAAATGTGAATTCGACATTATTTTTGTAAGGAAGAAAATGTTCAAGGAGCAAGACTTTATGAGTCCAGTCCTCTCCTTCTGCCTGAGGCTGCGTGCTGTGCCGCTGGCCAGACCACATGCTGGGCCACCAGGGAGCTCTCTGGCTCACCACAGAGTAAGGGCCTGGGTAACGCTCCACCGCTTCCCGACACCATTCCAGATGGTGAGCTACCTAGCACAGCGCCTGTGTGTGGACAGTGATTGACCCCCCGGGACTGCGCTGCTCTGTGTGCTGGGGGCGGGGGGGAGGGGGGCGCAGGTCTGGAGGGCAGGGAGCAGCTAAGCAGGACTCACAAAGCTACATCATAGCAACAACAACTTGGACCTTATTCTACATGACATTAGTCTATTTCTCTCTGTTGTCCTTACAGTAACAGGTCAAACTACTGCCAATGAGCACTCCTGAGAAGTTGAGTATTTATCCAGCACAAACCATTGAAGCTGTTTTTGAGGAAACTACTCAACTTAGGAACTGAAACACACAAAGCAGTCAGCAGGCGGCCCCGGGTGGCTGCAGGTCAGGGTGGTTACGAGCTGGAGGGGCTTTGGGCTGGGGACAGTCTTGTGTGGCCCCCCTTTCCCTCACACTGGAAGGCCGGGCTGGTAGGGCATTCTCTGCACTCATGAACAGGGAAGGAAGAGAAGGTGGGGTCAAGGCAGGGCCCACCCACTGGGGAGAAAAGCCACATCAACCTGGAACTTCCTAAAAAGTCTCTGGCCTGGCCCCTCTCTGGCCTAGCTCCACACGCTGGCCACCACCCAGTGCCTGAGGCTCTACAGGAGGCCTGCCCAGCCTGGACCATGGACCCATGAGATGCTCCCACTTGGACACTAAGCCTGCGCTAGCATTCTACCTGAAGACATTACCTCAAGTGGTACAATGTGTTATTGCTACCCAAATAAAATAACAGCCCCAATACAAAATCAGAAAAAAATTCTGGTGTATGCTGGTCTTGGGACTTGAACTCAGGACCTGGGTTCTGTCCTTGAAGTTTGTATTTCTTTTTCTTTTCCTCAAAGCTAGTGCTCTACCACTTGAGCCACAACTCTAACATTGGCTTTTTGGTGATTAATGGAAGTAAGCATCTCAGGGACTTTCCTACCTGACCTGGCTTCAAACCATGATCCTCAGATCTCAACCTTCTGAGTCGCTAGGATTAGAGATGTGAGCCACCAATACCTGGCACAATAGAAGTATTTAATGCAACACTAAAGCATACCTGGTTGCATCTATGCATAAATATAAAAGTCTGTTGCTTATATTGAAATTTCAACAATTTTACATGTTAGCATAGATAAAGTAAGGGCAATAATGTTTACAACTGGTAGAATTTGTGCCTTCTCTTACGCATACCAGAAGCTGACATTGCTTCTCACACCTGAATAAGAAAAATGAGACAAGTAACCATGCTACTGAATGGAGCTGCACCTCTACACAAGAGCACTGGGTGGAAAGTGTCCTCTCTCTGGAGGAAAACACATGGCTGGGGTCGGAGTGACCTTAGCAGGACGTGACCCCAGACCCAGAAGAGGATGTTCCATCCACAAATAGCCATGTCCCTGGGCACCCTCTCAGCAAACGGCTCCAGGCCCTGCCACGCAACACAA